GGCGAACTTGAACACTCATTGATGTCTGTAGATGAATGACAAGAAATACATAAAACATTTTATCACGTTTATCACGTGCAAAATCAAATTGCATCAACTCTCACACCAACACCATAGTATAACATATCATAACAGTGATTTAGGTTTGTATCAAACACACAAATACATTATTAAGCGGACCACATTAATAGTGGACACGGACAGTAATAAACACAATACTGATTACATGCTGTATGAATTATTTTTCACGGGAAAACATATAATATCTACATTCGACTCAACCTTGTTGTGTGATACATACTTTGTTGACACAGTCTTTTACTAAAGCCGGCAGCACATGTACATATATATCCTGCAACATTGTCAACACATGTTCCGTTATTCTTGCAAGGATTACTGGCACATTCATCTATGTCTAAAAGGAAAAATAGATTTATTGTATATCAAGTAGTTTTTAAACTATTATAAAAGCAAAAATGTCAGTGAAGACCTCCCTCCATCTCTTCAAGGCAGTTACAGTACAAACTCTTACAGAATAGACACCTGTCCATCCCTGAAGACAGTTACAGTGATACTTACTGATTTCACAGTGGACACCAGTCCATCCCTTTACACAGTTACAATAATACTCGTTCCACATAGCGATGCACACTGCATTGTTTTGACAAGGATCACTGCTACAAGAATGCAGATCGTTTTCTGAAATATCAATTAAAACATTAGTAATATTTTGACAATGATTTTTTTTCTCAAAATGTTGCAGTTCATCTGTAGAAAATCTCATGACATGCAATCAGGGCTTGTTGATATTCTAATGAATTTATAAAATTAATTTAAATAATTAATACATGTCATTGTAATGGTTTTGAAGAAGAATTCAACAATAGAATTGTTCAGCAAAAAATCTCTGGCCATAAGTACCATTTAGTATAAAAGCATTCCAATAAGTGGATAGAACAAACGCGAACAACATACAAGTACATCAATAGTCGGTGATTCAAATGACTTACCGCATTTATCAGACTTTGAGATAGTTGTGTTGTAGAAACGAAAACCCGTCACTTGGTGTTTATCGAACATATCGTTCATACTATCACCCTGGACATTGGATACCTTGGTTTATAACACCAGACCTACGATACAAACTCCACAAATGTACTGCAGATATGTACCCATGGAAGAAACCGTCGTAGTATCCAGATTCTGACAACGTTTTCCCGAGCAGCAACTCCCCGCCACCTGGGATGGTGTAGTTTACTTGAAATTCTGTTGACAATTTAGTTCGGGCTCCTTTCCTGAAAGCTGTGTAATTTCCGTCGCTGCTTGTCCACATCATGCAGACGTGATGCCACTTTAAATCATGTATTTCAATATTACCATTTTCAATCTCACCGCCGATGGTTAACCTAATTTTGCCTATAGTCGACCTGCTCATACTAAACTGTTGTGTATTATTATTATTGCCGTCATTGGAATTATAACTCACTGGGCTAGCAGCGCCTTGTTCTGTCTGACGTACCCAAAGACACATACTAAACGCATCTAAGTCTGGCATGTCCAATTGCACTACTGCATACGAAGCATTATGGCCATCAAAACGAAAGACTAATTCATCCAAGCTTGCAGAACCTGTGAACGTGCCTGACGAAAAAGAAATTAGGACATTTGAAGAACAATATACGCATAAATTAGATTACAATATTTGATATGATATACATATAAAATATAAATCAGACAAAAATCGAACACAAGTTCCAGAGTACAATTATGATACGGGATATTAGTATACATTATTCTGTAACTTATTATTAAATTTGAATATTTCATTAAATAACCAGGTTCACAAAATATGTTAATTCTCATACTGGTGTGCATCGGTTTGAAATATATTTTACTAATTTCGCGTATCCATGAAATGTGCCATCTACGGTGGGAAATATTTGTTTTCTGTTTCTGTAGGTTAATTAAAATCAACCTACATTCAATGCATGTATTCAAAATCATTATTTAGAAAATGTTGATCAAAAATCAAAATCTATTTTTTTCTTAAACTTAAAACAGGGAAACCACTTGCACGGATTATTAAATGGAAATTGAACCATTTGAAACTGAACTGCAAAATAGCTTACCACAGATGTCGTCCCGTTTCATCCTTATGTTATTAACGAAATATGTATTTAGAGGTAAGGCACAGTCCGAGGCAACTATACCATTGCAACGTCCGGCTAGAGCGTCAATTTCAGAGACATCAACCAATTTACTCCACATGACAAAATCAGCAAGTTCACCCAAGTAGAAATCCGAGACGTCAGTTGAACCATGCTCCCTTCCGAGGATGACGGTACCATCTTCTTGCAAAGTAGCACCTGCCTGTATATTGCTCCCATCTCCAACGACAGTACTTCCGTCTTTGTACAGCTTCCAGTCACCTCCAGAAAACGACCACGTGACACAAACATGGTCCAG